GTGGACCTTTTGTGTGCTAAAATGTTTTCAATTGGCCTTGATGTTTTGATTAATGGTTATTTTTGAGTTTTCAAAATGCATGTTTAAATCATTCATGGACCCTTGTTCATTCTTGGACCTTCGATATTCCATACTGTTTGTTTGGATCTTGTTATTTACTTGGGGAACCTTTTGTGTTTTTTAATGTTCAATTAGGTTCAAATGATTGAGTAGTGCTTGTTTTTGGGTCTTTAGTAGATGTTATGCTTGGGGATTGGATGATCATGCCTTTTGCCTTGGTCTTTAAGTAGTTTTGACTTCATTGAGTTGCAATTGAGGGAAAGTTTGATGTTTTGGTGGATTCAAATTGTTTAGTTTATATCTTATCACTAAATTGGTGCATTAATCCTTTGTTTTTTGGTGATTTTAGCCTAAGTTAGTCTTTTCTTGGGTGACTCTAGCCAAGTTGAGTTTGTTTACTTCCTTAGTATCACCAACGGGGAGGTATAATCTCTTTTACCCCTTTTGTTTCTCTCCTATGTGGACTAATGTGCTATTTGAAATCTGCATGTCTACTTGCTTTCCTAGCCGCTCCTTATTTCCTTTCATTTATTTCATTTACTTTTGATTTTTATTAATGGGGTATGTGTACACCTCTTGGCTTGTAATAGATAGGGCGTAGCAAGTAATTTGGTCCATTTTCCCTTTCCCCTTTGTTTTAGTTAGCAAATGTAATGGTTGCATGCCTATGTGTTATGTGTTAAAAGCTTTATTAGGATCTTGCATCTAGTCGAGCATGCTAAGTGTTATGTGCTATGTGTTTATAAGTGATTCGCATGTCTACTCGCTTTTTATAGAGTGGATGAATGGGATGGATGAATGTACGTCACCACACTAGTCCAACGCTAGTTGTGGCTTCTTTTATCGTTTCCACTAGTCCAACGCTAGTCGGAATTCATAGGAGGGGCTAGTCCAATGCTAGACCCAATAGGTTTTTTTTTCCTTTTTCATAAAGCGCATGATCACCATATATCACGCATTTTTCCTTAGTTTATCATTTGGTATGTTCCTCAAACCCCTTCCCCTTCACTTTAGGACTTGCATCTCATGCTAGTTAGGGTTCATTTGCGTGAAAATCCCCTCTTGATAAGGGAAACGAGCGAGTGTGGCTACTCGATAGCCTTAGCACGCTAGTTTCGCCTTCTAATCAAAGGGAAAATAGAAGTCGAAAAGTTAGGAGTCAACCCCCCCGTACCTGACTTGTTGCATTCCTCTAGGGTCATACTTTCATTTTTATCATCTACATACTCTTTTAACCACATTTTTTCACATTTCTCAAAACCATACTTTCTCACTACATTTTTCCTATCACGCGCTCATTTTCACCTCACAAATGGAATTCCACTTTACCTTATATATCTATTATTCTATTTTCACACACTTGCACACAAACACTTGGATTTTTTATACAATTTCACACGTTCACCTTTTTATACACTTGCACACTTGCACTTTAGCCATCATTTGCATTAATCGACCTCTATAAGGTTTTCCTTTATTGGCCGCCACAATTCATGTGGTTGGGACCAAAAACCTTACAAGAGACATTTTAGAATTTAGGTTTGCATTTTTTCCTTCTTTTTGCATTCATGTAGTGCATCCAAATGTAATAAATTCTTTGGTTAAAACAAGAAAATCTTTGATTAAATCATGCAACTAGCCTTGGCTAGGTCAAAGGGGTGCCTTGGATTTTATCCTTGCCTTCCCCTTTGTCAAATGTGACTCCCGAACCTTTTTCATTGGTTTACGTAGATTAGGAGTCGTTTAAAAAGGGTTTCTCACTACTTTTTCCTATTTTTCTTTAAAAATACATTTTTTAGGTGACTTGGTACACCTTAACTCATTACCAAGTGGCGACTCCGTATTTAGTTTTAAAAACCCTTTTTAAACTATAATTTTGGGTCAAATCGTCGCATTCTCAAAACCCCATTTAGACCCATTTTTCTTTTAAATCACGATTCATTTTCCAATCACAAAAATACATTTTTAAACCATTCATTTTATTTCATCAAAAAATGGGGCGCGACAGTTGGCGACTCCACTGGGGACTTTCGAGAGTCCGAGCAAATATGATTTAATCAACCTTTTTCTTCTTTTAACCTTTTCATTTATCACATTGGATGTTTAGTATTGCATTTTTTCCTTTTTTTTAGGATTTTTGCATTTCGCGTATCAACTCACTTCCTCACACATTCGACTACGATTGTTTGGATGGATGGATGATTTATTTTTGTATGATTTCGCGCTTTGCATTGCATTTGGGGGGGTGTCACCTTTAGAGCCTTGTGTGGTTCTCAACCCCTTCCCTCAAAATAGGGAGCACTTCATACGTGCACGTTTATTTATTGTTATCCCCATTTTATTTTATTTTCGTGGGCGTTTCCCACACCGCCTTGTAGGATTAGGATCGATCGCCTTGGGTAGGCGGCTGGTGTGCTCTGCGCCCATAGCGCTACCTAAGGGATCACTCGAGCCACCGATCAAAGGCCCTGGGAGTGATGACCCTTCGCCTTTAGGTCTGAAGGCTTGGGAGCCGAGACTTATCGAGTCTAGTTGCATTAGTGAGCCCCAGCCTCATGCATCCATATTAGACTCGCCTAGGGTAGAGTCGGCCTCACCTTTTTTTAAGCACATTAGGCACGAGGGAAGGGGTTCCACCCCTTTTACTTGCTTTATTGTACTTCTTTTTTTTTCTTAATTGCTCCCAATATGTTACGTGTACTATCAATTGTACTAACTATTCTTGCGTTTTCTTGGCTTGCATTCATGTGCCATAGCAATAAAAGGCCTCTTTGGCACTCTTTTTGTGACTTACCCGCTAGATAGCTCACATGTTTAATTTCAGTCATTACACTTAATTTTCAATAACTACATTTCATTTTTAGACCTCTTTCCCCCCGATGCATTATTTATGCCCTTTAGGCCATATTTGTTGCATATTTTACTGCTTTAAATAACTGGCATCACGCATAAACCATAGAAAGGGAATGCCACGTAGGGAATCCCGTGTTTAGGAATAAGCCGCCACATGTCTCGGATATTTAATCCAATGGGACTTACACGTTTACTATTTCTGCATTACCTAAAGGGTAAAATCCCGAGGTAAGGTACTAAAGTGAATTTCTTCCCCAGATGGCTCCGTGTAGAATGCTCAATCAGATACCTCGTGAGCTAGTAGATTGGAAGAACAATATGGCACATGAAGTGAACAGACTTTTCCCGTATATAGGACATTTACCTAGTCTCTTGAACATAACTCCGAATGTAGCCATTGTCCAAGCTTTGCTCGAGTTCTGGGATCCAGACAGCTCTGTTTTCCGATTTGGAGAGTGCGAATTAACACTAACCCTGGAGGAGATAGAAGGATTGTTACAAGTGCCTGGGAAAGGTCACCCTATGGTATACCCAATGAATGGCACCAGAGAACAATTTTGTAAGTTCTTAGGGTTAAAACAGTTTAGCATGAGTCAACACCCGGACGTAAGATCATGCCCGCTGGAGTTCTTATACAAGCGATTCGGGGAAAAGGAATCCTATGATCATCACCACGAGGACTTTTTCGTTAGTAGAGAACAGTGGGAAGAGAAACGAGTACTAGCTTTTGGGATAACTCTGATTAATCTACTCCTGTTTCCAAAAAAGCATGGGAAAGTTACGTTTTCAACGGTCAACATGGTTCAGAGTGTGTTTTTGGGAATTAGAGGAAAAACTCCTACCTTAGTACCCGTTATCATTGCTGACATTTTCGCCGCTGTTACTGAGTGCCGAAAGAAGAGAGGGTTTTTCTATGCATCCAACCTGGTACTTCAAATATGGGCGATGGAGCATCTGTCAAAAAGAACACTGAATCCGTTGGGATCATGCCTTCCAACAGCAAATTGGGTTGAGTCGCACCGAGAGAGGGTTAGAAAATACTGTCGAATAGAGTCTCCGAGTTTGTTTATTCAGGAATTCAATGCTTTGACTTCGGATAAGATACAATGGGTTCTTGATTGGACGAAAGTAAGGGATCCAGCTTTCAGGACAACACAACTTGATTTTATCCCGTTAGCAAGCACCGGTGGATTGATTGTGTATGTGCCACAACGAGTTATGAGACAGTTTGGGTATCCGCAGCGAGTGCCGACCATACAAAGGATGGGGAGCATCGAACTCAATACAGTCACCGAATGCCAGACTATGGTGCTGGAGGCTTGGGGGAATCTGTGTAGTCTGGACAACCTGCATTTGGACCAAGTGAATAAAGTAGAGCCTAAGGTCGTCTTAGAGTACAACGAATGGATCAAATCAACAATGGAACAAGGAAGAGAAAGGGCATCGTTGGTCTCCCTTAGTCTTGAGGAGCAGAATGAAAAGTTGAGGAAAGAGTTGGAGAATCGTCAGTTGCAGATCATGGTAGCCGATCAAGCATTGGAAGACGCCCGCTCACAATTGAAGAAGGAGGCCAAAAAGACCGAGAACTTGGAAAAGGCATTGAGTGCATTTGGCAAAATCCAAGATGAAATTCGGAAACTTAGTACCGGGAGTTCTAGGGAGTCCCAACACACTAAACTAGCTAGACATGAAGACTTTGTAAGAATGGTCAGTCGAACCATCAATGAAATTGTAAAGAAGGATTAAGCTTATCCATGATTAATGAGAATTCCTGTTTTATATTCACTTACAGGTTTGAAAAATGGGATTTACCCCGAAGGCTTGCATCATGCTAGGCCTACCCTTGGCACAAAAAAAGGGGCTCCCCAATAGGACATGCATCCGAATTATTTTACTTTTTACTAACTCCTGTCTTTTTCTTTTTTTTTCTTTTCTCTTTTATTTTTTCTTTTTTTTGGCAACAGTCAATCAAGAAGGGTATCTAATAAGGGTTTTCCTACGTCTCCAGGTAATATTTAAATATAGCTACCCGAAGAAGCCCCATTATCACCCGATCGCGTAGCCGAGCTTCGAGAGAAAGTGTAAACATGAGTACCCATCCGGAATCATCTGAAAGGCCCGCAACATCATCAACTGATTTGGCAAATCTGGGAGCTCAGCTGAGCGAGGTTCTCAGCCGGTTTAATGAGCTAAGTGTTGAAATGATGGCCCAACGGCATGTAATCGATCAATTGGTAGCTAGTGGCGCTAGCGGTGAGCAGCAACATGCACCCTTACCCCCGGGCCAATCTGAACCAATACTCTTACCATATGCTCAAATCTCGGTTTCTTCACAAGCTATGAATCCACCCGAAGAAACCTTTACTTATCCCACTCATGGCCCACCACCTACATATGCACCTCACATCCAAACTAATCCTCCTCAAGTCCAAATTTCCCAGAATTATCTGCCCATTACTGTGAGCATGCCTTTCGAACCACAAGGACCACATTATTACGCCACCGCTGAACCATTCACCCTAGATACCGCCGTTCAAGGAAAAACTGAAGTTGGGGGGTCGTCCGTGCCCGTGGACAAGAATTTACTAAAGAGATTGGATCGGTTCGAGGAGTTTATAAGGAAAAGCCAAGGTGTGAGCAAACAAGGGGGTTTGGACTACAACGAGCTGTGCCTGTTTCCGGATATGCAGTTGCCGGTGGGTTTCAAAGCACCCAAATTTACCAAGTACGACGGAACGGGGAATCCCAAAACCCACCTTCGGATGTTTGCAAACAAGCTGGGAAGACCAATAGACGATGAGAATCTGCCGGTACGCTTATTTCCCGAGAGTTTAGAAGGCGACGCGTTGGATTGGTATTCCAATTTGAAGCCTGAAGATATGAAATCTTGGATGGATTTATCGACTGCTTTTGTGAGGCAGTATGAATATAATTGTGAGCTCGCTCCGACGAGGACCACATTGGAGGGGACCAAGAGGAAGCCATCGGAGGACCATAAGACATATGCGAAGAGATGGAGGAAATTGGCCGCCAAAGTGGAGCCGCCTATGACTGAAAACGAGATTGTTCGCACGTTTATTAAAGCTCATGACCCACCCTACTTTGAAGAGATTTTCCGTATGACTGGGTGTTCCTTTGCTGAAATTGTTAACAAATTGGAAGAGTATGACGAGTTTATAAGGGCAGGCAAGATTGTTAATGTTTCAGCTTTAAAGTCACAGTTGGAAGCTATGCAGAGTCAGAGTGGCAGTAGTAAAAAGGCTCAATTTAAGAAGAAAGATGAGGAAGCCTCTTTTGTCTGGGACCAGGGTTTTTCTTCTCGGCCTAGATACCAACAAAATCCCACCTACTCACCTTGTTACTTATATCAACCACACCCACGCCCTGTTTACAATACCACTATCAACCACCCCCGTCCTCGACCAAATTATCCAAACACACCATCGACGCCATTTCATGTTTCCCCACCAAACTTGCAAATTAGACCTCGCCCTCCTTTTAACCCAAGACCTATTCCATCTCCTAACCCAAATTACCAGTACCAACAAACCCGTGACACCCAAAATCCAACCCCATACCGAACCTTTACCAATCTAGGTCGACCTGTTGACCAGTTATATGAGCAATTAAAAGCTGCTGGGAAGATTGGTACGGTACCCCCTAAGACCTATCCCAGGGGATTTCCCCCTGGTTATGATCCTCAATCGTTTTGCGCTTATCATTCGGGATCCCCTGGACATCCGACAGCCAATTGCTGGGCACTTAAGCATAAAATTCAAGATATGATTGATGCTGGAGACATAATTCTGAGAAGGAAAGATGAACAAGGGCCAAGTGTTAGCAACAATCCTTTTCCTCAGCACAAGGATACTGTGGGGACTATCACCATAGAGGAAGGGATTGAGGACCCTACACAGTACATTGTGAACGAGGCCGAGATCATGGGGGTCATTGGAGAACCGTTTATATTGGAGGAGGAAGCCTATAAAGTGGAAGAGAATACTGATCCTTTTATTTTGGAAATGATACCCTTCGAATGTGAGCCTTCGGAACTCGTGGTACTTGAATTGCCTGAGCAAACTCCTGTTCTTAATTTACAAGAGGTCCCGTGGAATTATAGCGAACCTACACTGTTAATTGGAGAGAGGAAGGTGCCTAAGAAGGAAGTGGATGCCATCACTAGATCAGGGAGAATCATAGGGGAGCCTGCAGTTGATGAGTCCTCAAAAGCAAAAGAAGGTGCTACACCAACGAAACCCATAGTGACGGATGAAGAGGCTTTTAATTTCCTTAAGATGTTAAAGAAGAGTGAGTATAAGGTAGTCGAGCAATTGGACAAGATGCCCGCTCAAATTTCCATGTTAAATCTGCTCTTAACCTCGGAACTTCACCGAGAGGCTCTGGTCAAGGTCTTAACTGAGGCTCAAGTGCTTAAAAATATTCCAATTGACAAATTCGCCAATGTAGTTGAACATGTTTTGGCTTCCAGTCGGATTTCTTTTTCTGATGAAGATCTAACTGCCGAGGGGATTGGACACAACAAAGCTTTGTATATCTCAGTCCGCTGTAACGGGAAACTCTTGCCAAAGGTTCTGATAGACAATGGCTCCGCTCTCAATATCTGCCCTTGGAATACTTTGGTTAAGTTAGGATTTCAAGAGACTAAATTGCGGCCGTCAACCACTGTGGTGAGAGGATTTGATGGCGCAAAAAGTGAACCAATGGGGGAAGTGGATTTAGTGATAGAAATCGGACCTGCCCAGTTTCAGGTCATGTGCCAAGTCATGAATTTTTCAAGTGTTTATAACATTCTCCTTGGACGGCCTTGGATTCACACCTCGGGCGCTATACCCTCTTCACTTCATCAGTTGCTGAGATTTGTGGTGAATGATCAATTGATCACAGTTTTTGCGGAGGATGATTGCACAATGATTGTTAACTCTGGACCAAATGAGGAGGATAGTAAAACATCTCTGTTTTCTTCTCACCATGTGGCTGACATTGTTTCCGTAGGATGGATATCTAAGGAGAAGCCCGTGGTGGAAATGAATCTGCCAGAAGCTAGTGTTATGATGGCTAAAGAGATGATTCGAGGAAGATATGAGATGGGCAAGGGCCTCGGGCGCAACCTGCAGGGAGTTTTGGAGCCAATAGAACTTCAAGGAAAGAAAGATACTTTCGGATTAGGGTTTCAACCTACTGCCAGGGATAAGAAAGAAATGATGAATCGTAAAAAGGCGGAGAAGGAAGGAAGGCAGCTTATCATGAATGTCCCACCATTGTATTGTACTTTTCCTTACCCATCAGAGGTGATCAAATCTGAAGTAGACCCGATCAAGGAAGTGGAGGTTGGGTTCTCTGAGCTATTTGTGGGGGTTATTTCTGAAAGGGAGCCGTTGGAGGAGCCAGGATTTCCAGAGGTGCCTATTGAAGCAATGAAGAACTGGACCCGTGATTCTCTTCCCTCCTGCAGGGAATTTCGGTAAATTAGGGGATTGCCTTTGGTCGACATGAGACAAATCGTTTATACTACTTATCTTTTGTCTTTCAAGTTTGTAAATAGTTTTCAATCAAATGTTTTTCAATGCAAGTCTTGCGTTAATTTTCTTGTTAAGTAGCATGTCATGATGTTATCCTTTACTTTGAATTTCAATGAAATGCACAGTGTTTATGGCCCAAATGGATTTAACTTACTTCCTATTGTACTCATTTCATTTTTTTTTCAGATGGCCAGAAATAAAACACATTGACCCTTTGGATATCACTATTCTGGAATTTGATGATTGTAATCTCGATATCTCTCACGAATTTGACATTTTGGAATCAGAAATTCAAGACGAGAGCGATAACGAGGAAGAATCTGAATCTTTATTAAAGGATTTTGAACAATATGAGGAGAAATCCAAACCGAACTTAGAAGAAACAGAAGCTGTTAATATTGGCACTGAGACTGAAGTTAAGGAGATAAAAGTTAGCATTCATTTGAATAAGAAACAGAGAAAAGAGATGATTGAGTTCTTGACCATGTTTCAAGATGTATTTGCCTGGTCCTATGATGATGTGCCTGGAATTTCAACAGATATAGTGGTCCACCGATTACCGACTGATCCAAGTTTTCCACCAGTAAAGCAGAAACCTCGCAAGTTTAAGCCGGACATGAGCCTCAAAATTAAGGAGCAAATCGAGAAACAGCTCAATGCTAGAATTATTATGGTGTCTCATTATCCCATTTGGCTTTCAAACCCTGTACCTGTTCCGAAGAAAAGTGGAGAAGTGCGAGTATGTGTCGATTACAGGGATCTTAACAAGGCCAGCCCGAAAGATGATTTTCCATTGCCGAACATTCATATTCTTTTGGATAATACCGCAGGGCATGAGATTGAATCATTTGCTGATTGTTTTGCTGGATATCACCAGATCTTAATGGCTGAGGAGGATAGGGAGAAAACTGCTTTTTATCACGCCATGGGGGACATTTTGTTACCGAGTAATGCCGTTTGGACTAAAAATGCAGGCGCTACTTATCAAAGGACTATGACCACCCTTTTTCATGATATGATTCATAAGGAGATGGAGGTTTATGTGGACGATATCATTATCAAATCCGAGAGAACGGAGGATCATTTGATTGACTTGGGGAGGTTATTTGAAAGATTGAGGAAATATGATTTAAAACTAAACCCTGCAAAGTGTGCATTTGGGGCCCCTGCCGGAAAGTTATTGGGATTCATTGTCAGTAAGAAGGGTATTGAGATAGATCCGGCAAAGATTAAGGCCATTCGTGAGATGCCAGTGCCAAGAACGCAAAAAGACGTGAAGAGTTTTTTAGGAAAGATTAATTTTATTGGGAGATTCATTGCCCAATTGACCCATACGTGTGAGCCTTTGTTCAAATTATTAAAGAAAAATGTGTCCTTGCAATGGAATGAGGAATGCCAGCAAGCGTTTGATAAAATTAAAGATTACCTGTTGCACCCCCCGGTTTTAGTGCCACCCAAACCCGGGCGACCTTTGATCATGTATCTATCGGTGTTGGACGAAGCTATGGGGTGTGTATTGGGACAACATGACGAATCGGGGAAGAGGGAGCAAGCTATCTATTACCTTAGTAAGAAGTTCACTGCGTATGAGGCCAACTATTCTTTTCTTGAGAGGAGTTGCTGTGCTCTAGCTTGGGCCGTCCAAAAATTGAGACATTACTTGCTCAGTCATACTACTTACCTTATTTCCCGCTCCGACCCTTTGAAATATTTGTTGGGAAAGCCTATGCCGACGGGACGTATGGCGAAATGGCAGATGATTCTTTCGGAATTTGACATTATTTTCACTACTCAAAAAGCCATCAAAGGCCAGGCTGTGGCCGACCATTTAGCTGAAAATCCGCTGAAAGATGACTATCAACCACTTCACACTTATTTTCCGGATGAGGAGGCCTTGTTCGTGGGTATAGCAGAAGATATGAATGATCAAGGCCCGGAGTGGAGGTTGTTCTTTGACGGTGCATCAAATTCCTTCGGGGCCGGTATTGGAGCTGTTCTAGTATCGCCTGAAGGAAAACATTACCCTGGTTCGGCCAAACTCCGATTTTCCTGTACTAACAACATGGCTGAATATGAAGCTTGCATTTTTGGGTTAAAAATGGCATTAGAAATGGAGATTAAGGATTTACTAGTATTCAGTGATTCAGATTTGCTTGTACATCAGACTCTTAAGGAGTGGATTACTCGGGATTCAAAGATCTTGCCCTATCATTGCAACTTACTGGAGTTAGCCAATAAATTTAGGAGTTTGGAGTTTCGGCATATTCCCCGTGTCAGAAATGTCTTCGCCGATGCATTGGCCACTTTATCTTCAATGATCCAACATCCGGATGAGTTAATAATTGAACCCATCCAGATTCATCTACAAGGGAAACCTGCTCACTGCCTAGTTGTGGAAAAGTCTTCCGATGGCCATCCCTGGTACAATGATATCAAGGAATTTCTCAAAACAGGATCCTACCCATCTGGGGTTGATATGACTGCCAAAAGTTTCTTGCGTAGATTATCATCTAAATTCTTCTTGAATGGAGAAGTAGTATACAGAAGAACGTCGGATTTGGGCCTTCTGAGGTGTGTTGACGAAGATGAGGCGGAGTACCTGATGAAGGAAGTACATAGTGGAGTGTGTGGATCACATATGAATGGCCATTTATTAGCAAAGAAGATCATGAGGACTGGATATTTTTGGCTTACTATGGAGCATGATTGTATAGTTTTTGTTAGGAAATGCATCAAGTGTCAATTGCATGGAGATGTTATGCACACTCCCCCTACAGAATTACACAGTATGACTGCTCCTTGGCCATGTTCGATGTGGGGTATGGATGTGATTGGAGCCATTGACCCTCCCGCTTCAAATGGGCATCGGTTTATTCTGGTGGCAATTGAATACTTTACTAAGTGGGTCGAAGCTGAGTCTTATAAACATGTGACTAAGAAGGTGGTAACAGACTTTCTAAGAAAGAATATCATTTGTCGTTTCGGAGTGCCGGAGACATTAATCACTGATAATGCCAAAAATCTCAACAATGACATGGTGGATGGTTTGTGCGCACAGTTCAAAATCAAGCATCGAAACTCCTCTATTTATAGGCCACAAATGAATGGAGCAGTAGAGGCTGCGAATAAGAACTTGAAGAAAATAATCCGTAAGATGATTGAGAGACACCGTGATTGGCATGAAAAGCTCCCTTATGCGTTAATGGCATATAGAACTGTTATTCGGACTTCTACTGGGACGACTCCCTACAATCTCATGTATGGAATGGAAGCAGTTTTACCAGCCGAAGTCGAAATCCCTTCTTTGCGTATTTTAATGGAGGCCAAACTGGAGGAGGCTGAATGGATTCAACAACGTCACGAGCAGTTGTCTTTAATCGATGAGAAAAGGTTAAATGCCATTTGTCATGGTCAATGCTATCAAAAAAGGGTAGCCCGTGCTTACAATAAGAGGGTCAGACCACGGGTGTTCACAGAAGGAGATAAAGTGTTGAAACACATTTTGCCAGCACAAGAGGAAGCTAAGGGGAAATTTGCACCAAATTGGCAAGGCCCTTTCATCGTCCGGAAAGTTTTGCCCGGAGGAGCGCTCATTCTTGCAGAAATGGATGGGCAAGTGTTCCCTCAACCAATCAATTCAGATATGTGTAAGAAATTCTTTATATGATAAATGAAATCTTCCTTTTAGGGTTAATGTGAGGAACGGATTAAAAGTCAGGCCTTCTTCCTTCCCAATCAAACATTCTATCCCTAGTTGTCCCTTTTGAGCCTTCAGAGCAAATTATTTCGTTTGGCATCCCCTGAGAATCGCAAACCCCATACTGGGGCAAGTTTGAGTCGAAAAAGCTAAGAATGAGAAAGAAAGGAAAAGAAGAGAAAAGAAAAGAGAGGATTCAAAAGGAAAAGCTATAAAGGAAAATGAAAAGAAAAATGAAAAGAGGAATATCTCGATTGAGAATAAACTGGGGCAATTATTAGTAAGGTTAACTTGAAAAATGCGATCTCAGATCATTTAAACCACACTTGAAATCCGCTTTCAAGCCTTAATCTTTTCTAAGCACCCCACCAGACCCCATTACAAAAACCTAAAAGTCCTGACTTCTGTTCTTTATACTGCCTTTTTAGGACAATTTCTAATCAGGTGGCACATGATGTCAAAAACATCTTCGCCTATTTTGCAAGGGAAGAATTGTTATACTGATGCCATTATTTCTTAAAACACATCTCCAGATTGATATGGGCGATAGACAAGATTGGTTTGCTAGGTGAAAACCCGCAAGGGCACCTAAAAAAAAAAAGAAGGAAAAAGAAAAGGAAAAAGAAACACAGGAAAAGAAAATAATGGGCGGGGGCAACCTTAGTGAAAACCCGAAAGGGCGCTGAGGTAGGGTTTCATAAGGAAAAGTAAGTTTGGATTTGAAGAGCTGGTGACTTAGTTCATTGGAATTTCTCCTCACATTGTGGTTCTGTTGTCAAGTATTGGAACTCCGAAGAGATGATGTCCAAAGGGTCAAATGTAGCACTTTGTTCGAAAGCCAAAGTTTTTGACTTATCAGACACGAAATTTGAGTATACAGGCTTACTTATTTGAAATGATTTTTTTGTGCAATAAAAGTAGAGGATTGTGTTTATATTGTTAAGATCTTTCATCATTATGTGCAACTAGAATGTTTTTCATGTGTTGCATGGTCGCATTTGTCTCTTTTGTTCTATCAAATGGCAATCCCTATGATTTATCGAAGAGAATAGATACTAGATGATACGTGGGTCTGCATATTATGAGAATTTGACATGGTTTGCAGGGCCGGGTTGAAGTGCTCACTTCGTCGAACGAGAAGCCCAAATGCTCATGTTTACACTTTTCTTGAAGAAGAGGTTGATCGAATGATGGCGGTATTATCTATCATTATTTCTTTTCTTGCAGGTCGGACAATCCGATAAGCATCACATTGGGGCAATTTTAGAGGAAGTTGTTTACCATTTGTTTTCTCAAAAGCCTACGAAAGTTTATATGAATAGATCAACTGACCGCTTTTATGTTTCGTTGGGCATGGGTTTTATCCCTCCGACCTCGGCAGGCTTGGGTTTTATCCCACTGACCGCTTTTATTTTCGTTGGGCATGGGTTTTATCCCTCCGACCTCGGCAGGCTTGGGTTTTATCCCACTGACCGATTTTATGTTTCGTTGGGCATGGGTTTTATCCCTCCGACCTCGGCAGGCTTGGGTTTTATCCCACTGACCGCTTTTATGTTTCGTTGGGCATGGGTTTTATCCCTCCGACCTCGGCAGGCTTGGGTTTTATCCCACTGACCGCTTTTATTTCGTTGGGCATGGGTTTTATCCCTCCGACCTCGGCAGGCTTGGGTTTTATCCCACTGACCGCTTTTATTTTTCGTTGGGCATGGGTTTTATCCCTCCGACCTCGGCAGGCTTGGGTTTTATCCCACTGACCGCTTTTATTTTCGTTGGGCATGGGTTTTATCCCTCCGACCTCGGCAGGCTCGGGTTTTATCCCACTGACCGCTTTTATGTTCCGTTGGGCATGGGTTTTATCCCTCCGACCTCGGCATGCTTGGGTTTTATCCCACTGACCGCTTTTATTTTTCGTTGGGCATGGGTTTTATCCCGCCGACCTCGGCAGGCTCGGGTTTTATCCCACTGACCGCTTTTTTTTGACCATCTGCTTGATCATTGGATTGATAGTTAGTCTGTCAGTCATTTTGTATTTCATGTTTAGAAGTTCTGAGAGTTTGACTTCTTCTACTTTGCAAAGATCAAATATAGTCAATGCACTTGCATCCGAACTACGTTTGACCTGATTCCCGTTATGGGATACGTAGGCAACTCTACATGAGTTCGGTCATATTTTCTGCAATGTTATTACATCATTTTGTCCAATAATTTCAGCCGAGTGTTGACTTGTTTGTTTTATTTTCAGAAGCAGATAGAAGAGACAGGTAAGTATTTGGTGTCTACTTCTTTGTCTCAAGTTTTTTCAAAACTCAGACAAAGAGGGGCAAACTGTAGACACCAAATTTTTGGTGTAATTTCATTTACTATTTATTTTAGTTTTTTATTTTGTCGTGTTAGTTTTATTCGATTTTTAGTTTTTAGTTTATAGTTTTATTATTTTTAAGTTTTAGCATAGAAATTCTCGAAGTGAAAAGAAAAGCATTCAAAAAAAAAATATATATATATATATATATATGTTTTAATTTAAATTCAATGTTTTCTTGGGAAAAATGAAAAAAATGAAAATGAAAATGAAAAATGGAAAAAGTGAAAAATGAGGAAAATGAAAAATGGAAAATTGCAATTTTTTTGTTGTTTATCATTTTAAGTTTAGTTTTTTAGCCAATGTTAATTAATTTGTAGTTTTTTCTTCTTAATTTTATTATTATTATTATTATTATTATTATTGTTATTATCATTTTTGTTAGATTATTTTAAAAAAAAAAAAAAAAAGCCAAAAGCTGCGTTTTGGCCGCAGCTTGCAAATGGAAGTTGCGGGAGGTCCTGGGGGGGAATTTTCGGCTGAAGAGGCCAGGTGTCTAGGACACTTGGAGGGGGGATGAATCTAGAATGATAGCTAGGTTTTGAGAGAGAGCAAGAGGGATAGAGAGCTGGGGAATTGACGGCGGCAGAAAAAAAAAGATCTGAGCCGAAAATCTGGAGAGGAAAAAGGAGAGTTTTAGCGGCTGAAAAAAGATGGAGGGAAGAACTGAGGGTTTTAGCAAGGGCAAGAGGTAAAAAGGTTGACGGCTAAAAAACAAGAAAACAAGAGAGAAACAGAGGGGGATTGATGGCCGCAAACAGAAAAGAAAGAAATCTTAGCAAGTGAGAGGAGAAGAAGTTGGCGGCCGCTAGAAAGGCAACAGGCTAGGAAAACAGAGAAAGTGACGGAAGAAAGGCTGGATAGGAGAGAATTTTTGAGGGAGCAAAAGAGAGAAACCAAGGTTGGCTGATGGTTGGGTTTTGAACAAGAACAACAGCAAGGCTAAGAAAGAAACGTAAGACAGGGAGAGGTCAGAATCTCTGGCTCGCATTTGCTTCACCGAAATCTGCAACTTCATCTCCTTCGATCTCTGGTGGAGCAAGTTGAATTTCTTGCGGGTGTCAACTGCAATCTCGAGCCTAATAGCAGTAAAGAGGTAATCTTCGTTTGTTTTTTCTTCTTCCTGGTCGCTTCAAGATCTGGTCGAGATTGAATGTTCATGTTGTTTGTTCTTCGTTTTTTTCCCACGCTTTTCTTTCCGTTCATTTTTGGGTTAAAAAACTGTTCCTTTTTCTATTGAAGTTGATAGCTTGGTCGAGTCTCTCATCAGTTGCTATGCTAAGATTTGAAGATTGTATGAGATAGAATATTGGGTTTAGTTTGGGTTATAGAAATTCACGTAAGAAACTCAGCTGCAACTTTGCCCATTCGACTAGGCTGCGTTTTTCCCTTTGTTCGCTGTTCTACTTTCCTTTTCCGTTGATTGTTTGAACAGCCATGGCTTTGGTTGCTCAGTTTAAGAAGTGTCCAGTCTTGGGTTATTTTGCATGAATACCTCTGAACTGGGTAAGGAAGAAATGAATTTGTTTGTTGCAGAAATTGCTTGTTTGTTGCCTAAAGTTCACATGTTTGAATTTCTGTGGTTTTGATGTTTGAAACCATAGTCTTGGTTGTTGGGTTAAGAAGCTGGTTGTGTTTTGGATGAGGAAATTACGGCTGATGAACACTATAATTATAGCTAATCATAGCTGGAAAATTGAGGCAGCTTTGGTTCTTCAAATGTTAGTATGTTTCCAGATCAGTTTGTTGCATTTTATGAGTTCGAAAGTCTACTAGATTTTCCCCCTACCTTTGTTTCAAGGTCTTTGCATGTTGTGTTTGAATGAGTGGGGATGTAGCTGAGTCATTTGGCATGAATGTTAGCTGGAATTTGCCGAAGTTTAAGCTTCGAAACTTGCATGAATTGTTTAAGCTGGAATCTGTTGGGTTGTGTGAGATCCCCTGCCGAAATTTGCAGAATGCATGAGTTTCTTCATGACTTTTTGCAGCAGCTCCTTCTATGTTTATTGCTTGTCTGGATGTCAAATTAGCATTGTGTGTCATTTATTTTTAAAGTTTGGGTGCTGGATGTTGGATTTGAACTTGGTGTTTGAATTTAGAATAAGAGTGCAGTAGTCCGTTTGTTTTAGTTGCGGAAATGTTTAGTTGCAGAAAACCTTTCAGCAGAAATGTTCTTGTTGCAGACCATACTTCCGTAGCTTTGCATGGATTTTTGCATGAAAATATTTCAAAGATTACACTTTAACCTATCAAGTTCCCCTTTATTTTACTATGACCCCATCAATTGAAAAGTTCTCAATTAGGTCCTTGACAGTTTCAATTGTTCAACTCATTTGCTTGTTTGCTTCCATTGATTACCATGTGTTTGTCTAAGTGGTGCTTAATTCATAATTTCGTGAACTTCATGTCCAAATGAGTTTGTGTTTACCCGTTTTTCTTTAAATTTTCCTAAATAAATGGGTACCTTGACTTTTTTCTTGCTCGTGGACCTTTTGTGTGCTAAAATGTTTTCAATTGGCCTTGATGTTTTGATTAATGGTTATTTTTGAGTTTTCAAAATGCATGTTTAAATCATTCATGGACCCTTGTTCATTCTTGGACCTTCGATATTCCATACTGTTTGTTTGGATCTTGTTATTTACTTGGGGAACCTTTTGTGTTTTTTAATGTTCAATTAGGTTCAAATGATTGAGTAGTGCTTGTTTTTGGGTCTTTAGTAGATGTTATGCTTGGGGATTGGATGATCATGCCTTTTGCCTTGGTCTTTAAGTAGTTTTGACTTCATTGAGTTGCAATTGAGGGAAAGTTTGATGTTTTGGTGGATTCAAATTGTTTAGTTTATATCTTATCACTAAATTGGTGCATTAATCCTTTGTTTTTTGGTGATTTTAGCCTAAGTTAGTCTTTTCTTGGGTGACTCTAGCCAAGTTGAGTTTGTTTACTTCCTTAGTATCACCAACGGGGAGGTATAATCTCTTTTACCCCTTTTGTTTCTCTCCTATGTGGACTAATGTGCTATTTGAAATCTGCATGTCTACTTGCTTTCCTAGCCGCTCCTTATTTCCTTTCATTTATTTCATTTACTTTTGATTTTTATTAATGGGGTATGTGTACACCTCTTGGCTTGTAATAGATAGGGCGTAGC